CGAAATTACAAGAAACCGAAATTACATCATTCAGGTTGCAGCGTTTCAGGAGTGTGGCGACCTCCGATCGCTGGCCCATCTTCAGCGGCTTGTTTCTGGAATCGAGCACCGACTTCGACACCAAAGAAAAGGCGCCCTTCAGCTTCCTTGGCAAGTTTGTTGTCAAAGTTTGAATTTATAGGCTAGTAGGCTTGGACAAAACAAGTCTAAACCAGAACACTTGATTAAATTATAGTACGAAGAGTCAAATGCTTTGTTTTCTTCCGCACCGTCCACTTGGTCGGTATGTCTTCTTCTTCGGCGGCTCGATAGGCAATGGCTACTGCAGTTGACTCTGGCGTGCTTCCCGACTCCGACTCCAAAGACTTGTCGAAGTGCAGCTCGAAGGAAATTTCCAACCCTCGCTGCAAACGAACGAGAGGCTGAAGCATGCGACCTTCCGACACCGCCAACTTCAGCCAATATGGTGTGGCCACCCATCCGCCCAACAGCCGACAGCAGGCTGTAAACGTGGTGTAGGTCTGCAGCGGGAAAAACATTTGCTGCTCCTCATCACTGTTCGAGCAGAGCCAAATAATTGGCTTTAGACTCCGAAGCAAGGATTTGGCCACAACCTTGCAATCGCCGGAGCCGACGGGCCACAACCGCAGGGTGCCATTCAAGCGACGAATCGACTCCGCAGCATCTGCACTGGTAGCAACCACAATGCTTCCGTGCGGAAGTGCAGGCTTGTCGACGACGACGCTCAAGGATCGCTTCTCCAAGTCTCGCAAAGCCTTAGCTGCCTTCTCGTTCTCTGCAAGATGAGCTGCAAGTTTTTGGCCGCTGGACGACGCCGGGTCCGCTGGTCCAGCATCCTCTGCTGCCTGTTTCCTCTTGGCATCGGCATACTGCTGCAGCGTCAATGCATAAGATTCTTGCTTTTTGCCGAAACGCTTCTTAGCCGCATCCACGGTTATCGACTCCAACTTCTTCAACTCCTCCTGCCTGGAATCATCTTCGACTCCGACGGGCCTGACCCCCTTGGACTCCTGGATCTGCGACTCCCGAAGGCGTTTCTGACCAGCCACCGACTCCGGTCGCAGCTTCCTCTTCGTCACCCGCCGAGGAAGTCCAGTTCCAGAGCCTTTCTTGGCGACGCCGAACATGCCCGCGTATGCTTTTTGAATCAATCGACACCGTGCTGTGCCGACGACCGTCAAGGCTCCATCCACACGCACTCGGTAAGCCACGTCCTCGGGCCGTGGACCATCGAGCCTGCACTTCATGAGGTGCATCAAGTTGTCAGTGGATGTGTTCGACTTCCGACCCCGGGAGAACATTTCAAGGAATGAGAAATGCTGCTCTATCACGCTGCTCGATGCCGACGCGCACAGCATCAAGCTCACCTTGGCTCGGAAAGTCTCACACGACATCGACTCCGACTTCAACATCTCACTCTCAGGACCGGGCAGCTTTCGACATCGAGGGTGCCTTGTCACCCCAGTGCTGACAAGCTCGACCCCAAAGAATCTCCAGATCACGGACGCCCGACCTAAGCTTACTACGAGAGCGCAATCTAGAACGAGCAATAATAATGATGATATGAATTCTGAATATTGCCTTGACAAGTGTCTTCCAGAGCTTTCGGACGGTGGGCTTCATCATCTGGAACTCCGACACCAACGCACGGACCTGCACTTGAACGTTTGCCTTCCAGTTCAGTGCTTCACATCTGAAGCAGGGCCGGCCTCCACGCTGACCGCTTTGGATATTGGAGTCATGGACACCGTCCTTGGTCGTATTAATCGGCGATGGTTCGCACATTTGCTTGCGACTCCGACGACCCAGGGCAGAAGTCTGGTCCTTGAGGGTATGTCAATGCAAACACGATCTAAAGTACTGTATACCAAGCATCAATGAGCTCTCATCCGGCAGCTCCAGTTTTCCCTCACCGACATCGAAAACAGAAAGCGACGCTGTCAATCCAGTGTCTGTGTCCGCTCGTATGGCCTGGATAAACTGTTTGCACACATTCTGTATCGACCCCAACTCCTTCGCCACCCAGCTCCTCACCTCTCGACTGCCGGCGCTCTGCTTGTAAAACACCAGTCGTCCATGTCGCACATGTGCCTCTGCAGGAGCTTCAAAGTCGTACCTGAGAACTTAGGCTCAAGGCTTAATGTTATGTTACACGCTGCGCGGTCAAAAAAAAACTTGCGCGGTTGTTTGCCATGTTTCTCCCTGTGAAGCATCTGAACAAATCCAGCGGAAAATTTCTCCGACATCGCAAAAGGCTCTCGCAGATTGTTTGCAGAGTCTCTGTAGGCAAAGAGGTGACGCAACTCGCCCTCGAGCATGTCGACGGACGTCGCGAGTTTAGCGACACCGCGAATGCCATCGCAGCCATCCCAGCTGCGAATAAAGCGAAGAGCTGCTGCAGAAAATTCTGCAACCAACGCCAGCAGAAGCAAATTGCTCGGCGAAAAAAACGCAAGGACAGAACGGGCCCAGTCCGACTCCAACGCCGACAGAACCCTGACGAGTGGCTTCACGTGTCGCACCAAGTGCCCACACACGTCAGCAATCGTGCCGAAGCGTTGCTTCGCATAGCGAAGTTTCGACACCGTCTTGTCGGTCTCCCGAGCCACCTCCTCAGACAACAAATGCTGCAGCTTCAGGCTGTTGGTGATGGCCCGTGCAAGGCCGCCACTTCCGTTGTCCTCGCTCGACCCCGGGCTGCCGTAAGCCGTGACCAGCTTCTGCAGGATATCAGAAATTCGAGCCTCTTTCTCCAAACAATTCTCCAGCGCCTTGTGTGCCGAATGAACAGAGCAGCGAATAATGCCCCGGATGTTCGGCAAAGTTCCTTGCTCCTCAGATGCAGCATAAAGTGGCGGGTCGAGTTAAGATAGAACTGTTGTAGTAGTAGTAGTAGTCGTCGTCGTCGTCGTCGTCGTAGTCGTAGTCGTAGTCGTAGTCGTAGTCGTAGTAGTAGTAGTAGTAGTAGTAGTAGTCGTAGTAATAGTAAT